CAGGGGCCATGGCAAGCGGCATCAGGACAAGTTATGCAGAGCACGATCGAGAGGCTTAAAGGTGGTGGAGAGAATGTCTGAATTGGTTGTTATTACTATTGTTGCCGTTGGAGGCAAGGGTCAAGTGGATCAACGTGGTCGAGCAAGCGCTTGTTGATGAATTTTGGGGCCCCTCAAATCAACTCGGTGGCTCATTGCAAGAGAGGAATGACGCTTACCATCGAGGGGAGCTAAGGAATGGTCAAAGAAGAACTCGAGGCTCGCAAGACGGCCATGCCAAACCAGTTGGAATTCCCATCATCTCTTGATCAAACTCCAATCAACGTTTTAACCTTAGGCTCTGTATGTTTCACGAAAACAAATGATTTGAAAAATATTTTTCAAAAAAGTAATCGCTTGAAATGATTATTTGATGAAAATTATTATCATTATCGGCAACAATTTATGTCTAAACACTTTCATGGACAATTGATATATTTTTCATTCATTCATGTTTTCATGTGATACAATCGATCATTTTTAGGAAAATAGTTTCCAAATTACTTATTTTCCGCAAAATAAACGCATCCTTATAGTGCCTCTTTTTTTTCCCTTGAGCAACATTATAATGCCTTGTGTAAAAACTCAAGTGTACTCGATGCCCATGGTCTTACTATGTCAATGACAGGAAAATTGTCCAAAAAGTCTTAAACCTATTGTATGGAGGCCAATTCAGTCTCAAACCTTTCAATTGTGCCAATTTAGTCTTAAATCTTTTAACGAATTGCCAATTTAGTAAAAAACTTTTCAATTGTGTCAATTAGTACGTGAGATATACCACACATAGAATGTGCTTTGACGTTATCTTTCAAAGCGAAAAAATAATTTTAATTGTTAGAAAATGACATATAATAGATTTTTTCAAATGAGCTCAAGCGTCAATACGAATACAAGATTTGAGATTATTGTGTTTAATAAGAGTTAAATGTCCTAAATATATAGCAAAAGTACAAACTTCGGTTGCGCTAATAATGGACCTAATAATTATCCAAAGGGGAAAAAGCTACAAAAAAATCCAAAACCTAAAACTTATACGCGTGTGACATGTTTACTCAAAACTTTTTTTTTGTGATATCAAAAATCTTAAACTTCTACCCATGTGACACATCGTAACACATTTACCCCAAATTTTTTAGGTAAATGTGTCACACAGATACAAGTTTAAGGTTTTTTATGTTACAAGAAAAGTTTGAAGTAAATATGTCACACATGTATAAGTTTGGGATAAATGTGTCATATGAGTACAAGTTTAGGATTTTTCGTGTCACAAAAAAAAGTTTTAGATAAATATATCATAGTGGATATAATTTAGGGTTTTTGATGATTGTTTCCTTTATCCAAAGTACAAACTAAAAGTTCAAAATAAAAGCTAAAACACTGTATATGATGTAAATATAAGATGCAAGATGTCCGGCTCGAGATGGAGGTCAAGTACAATAAAATGAAGACTTCTTTGACTAATGTATATTTAAGTGTGATTTTGACGGTCTATTGGTCATTAAAGTTGAGTGTATTAGCAAACCAACGTGGATCAAATCATGCTTTTATTTCGATGCACCCTGCAGGTATAGTTGGATGTACCTTTTCTCCTTCTCCAATTGTATATGTTTGCTCTAGTACAATTTTTTCAAGAAAAATCTAAAGAAGGATTACCATTTTTGTGCTCATATCAATTTTTTCTATAATCTGCATCCTCACTTTTGTGTTCCACTTGAAATTGGATCAGTTATTGGAATGGTCCTATTTATGACATTGTTGTTTTCCTTTCAAATTTTCCCTCCCACTGTTCCAAATCTTCCCACCTTGGAAACCGTATCGAAACCAAACCTAACCACAACTCGGCCGCCTTTTCGCCGGGTCTCCATCCCCGATGATGTCCGCCTCACCGTCGTCATCCCACCACCACCTCGTTGCTCCAAGCTGAGCCACCACCTCATCGCCTATGGCATCTTGTCGAGGAGCACAGGATTTCGAGGAAATAATAAGTCGGGGAGGTGATCAAGATGAACACGGCACGTCTCAAAACTTATAGGGATCTAGAGTTTCGTGAATACCCGGGAATATTCTAGAAGGTATTATAAGTATGGTATGCTTGTATTATAGAAGAGTTGGTAGGTACGGAGATTGTATTTCTACCATTAGATCAAAAGAAGATCTACGGTTATAATTAACGGAGCTCGTATATAAATAAGGGTCCATTTCTCTCATTTGTATCATTCCTCAACTCCGATACAAAGAAGAGCAATAAAAGCATTCTCTCCCAGACACTTCTCGCGCTAGAGTCTCTCCGCGATTCAATACGTGCCGAGTGAGCGTGTGAGCCATAGCTCAGCCTTCCCTAGTTAGGAGTGAATGAGTCAAAGAAACCCTAAAGTGCCGCACCATCGCCCTAAAGTGCCGCACCATCACGATCTCAAGTGTCGACCCGCAACAAGCAATATTGGAGTAAGTTGTCGGAGCACAATTGAGAGATTTCGAGGTGCATATCGAGTGATCGAGAGAATGTCGGAATTGGATGTCCTTGCTATTGCCGCTGTTGGAGACAAGGGTCAGGAGGAGGAGTCTCGTCCCAAGAGAACTCGATTGAGGGATATCACGTCCATCGTGAGAAGAACTAAAGGCTTGCAAGACGGCCATGGCGAGCAGGTTGGAATTTCCGTTATCTCTTGATCAAATTTCAATTGACTTTTTAACCTTAGGCTCTGTTTATTATCGGAAAATGAATGATTTGGAAAATATTTTTCAAAAAATAATCCCTTAAAATGATTATTCAATAAAAAAATATTTTTATTATCGGCAACAATTTTTGTTTAAATACTTCCGTAGATCATGAAATTTTTTTTCGTTATTTCCTTTTTGCAGGCGATACAAACTATTACTTTTAGGAAAATGTTTTCAAATCATTCATTTTCGATAAAATAAATGCATCCTTATAGTGCTTTTTTTTTCCCTATTACAACATTATAGTGCCTTGTGTAAAAACTTAAGTGTACTCAATGCCCATGGTCTTATTATGTCAATGACCAAGTGTACTTGGTAGAGGGAAAAGATCAATGAATTAGTTTAAGATATACCCCATCTAGAATGTGCTTTGATGTTATCTTTCAAAGAGAAAACAGAGCTTTAATTGTTAGATAATTATAGAAAAGACTCTAGAAAATTTCAATTGAGCTTAAGTGTCAATATGTATACATAATTTGAGATAATTTTATCTAATAAAGTCGAATGTCCTAAATCTATAGCAAAAGTAAAAATATTTTGTTGCGCTAACAATGGACCTAGCTAATCCAAAGTATACATTAAATGTTAAGTATAAAAGTCAAAACACTATATGATTTAAGGCTCCGTTTATTTTGCAAAGCATGAATGATTTGAAAAATATTTTCCTAAATATGATCGCTTGCATTACTTGAAATAATTAATCAATGGAAATTTTCTTTGATTAATATATTGTAATACTTGAAGATGCAGTGGTGGACATGCTATGCTCAGAATAATCTTGCAAGTGAAGCAATTGAAGCATATCACTTGATGGAAGAGTGTGTAAGGGATAACTCCAAAGTAAAGGGAATAAGTACCTAAGAAGCTCCAAGTTCATGTCCTTCGGATCTTCCATTTGATGCTACAAATTAAGGTATGACTCCTGTTACTGTCGGTCTTACTGGTGTTTTTTGTTGGACATTCTTTCGATTATATTTTCAATCGTGCTTGATCGAGGGTGTGTCGATACAAAGTCATGCATGCTGCAATTTTGATTAGTGATTGGTATAGGTGATGATTTCAAATGTGAGTTCATTTGATCTCGGTCTCAATTCGTTGGATGAAGTTGATTATGCCGAACGATGTTGATTGGGAGTGATGTGAGGTCGATTGAATCGGTGTCGAAGTTAGGAACGCTCGTGGATTAGTGGGAATGCATGTTAGGAAAGGGATCACGCAGGATAAATTGGAATCGATACTATGTTATCCTCCGATTACCTTGTCATGCGGTGCCGGTATGATCGAATGGCAAGCCAATGTACACCTGCTAAGGTCATTGTATCGGATTACTTTACGCATTCTATTTCTTACCTACATTTTAACATTGTTTTCAATGCTTTTTGTTTTCATCATTTCATGCCATTTCCTCGACCGCGCGTCTCTTATTTCGCATAGCCCGGCTGGACAGTCAGGCCACGCATTAGGATCATAGTTAGACACAAAACACATCGCGTGGGCAATGAGTGGACAAGACGTCTAGGAATCAAGCCATAGTTCCATCTAAAGAGTGAGACTGGAGTTCTCCCAAAAATAATCTTTACCTTTTAAGTTTTCGGTAACTCATTCAATGAAATGTAATATCTACAATCGGGGGAATGTAATTCAACACGAGTGGAATGCACAGCCATGGTTTCTGAGATTTCCCCATTAGCATCCCAAATCGAAAAAAATTTAGGGAATTCAAGCCGAGAAGAGAAACCCCAGAGGGGAGAATCCCCAAACGGAATGCTGACCAAAAAAGCCAACAAAAATCAGCAAAAACTGGGGAAGAAATTGAAGACCCCTGGTCGGTCCGGTAATAAGGCGGGACGCGCATGCCCAATTTGGTAACTTCACCCGTCCCCCACCACCACACCACCCCAACAAGCCGCTCCTCTTCCCCTTGGACAAAAGCAAGAGAGAGAGAGACCAGAGAAGAGAGAGAGCGAGAGAGACATAGAGCGCGCCCCCTGAAGAGCCAAAGCAGCAGCAAAACAACAACAGCGAAGGAGGGAGGAAGGGAGAGAGAGACCCACACACACGCACACATAAAAATCCGACCTTTATAATTTTTTCCCTCTCCTCCTCGCCTCACAGATTTTTCCCCTTCCCCCTCTTTTTAAACAACAGTTAAACAAAAAAAAAAAAAATCCGAAGCGCCGCGAAACGAGCCGTTGATTCGATTTCGCGCCTTCCTCCTCGTTCCTCCTTCCTCCTCCTCCGTCCTCCACACACCCATGGTGGCTCAGCTCGAGAGCCCCCAGCCGCAACCCCAGCCCCAGCAGCAGCCGCAGCAGCAGCAGGAGCAGGAGCGGGAGCGGGAGGAGCGGGAGCGCGGGGGTGATGAGTCGGCGCCGCTCGACGATCGCGCGGAGAAGACGAAGTCGCTGATGTGCGCCCTCGGCCTCATCTCGCGCAACCTCCCCTTGCCCCCCGACCTGCTCAGCGCCGTCTCCTCCATCTGCGACGACGACGCCGCCACCGCCGGGGACGGGGCGGGCGGCGAGGGGGCCGCGGGCGGGGGCGAGGGCGGCGGATCCGGGGAGGTTCCGGCGGTCGAGAAGGGTCCGGTGAGGGTTTCCCGGTTGTTGATTTTTTCGTGGGGGGGAAGGGGGGGGGTTTGATTTTGGTTTCGATGCGCGTGCCGTTCTCGATCCGAAGTGATTTCTGCTTTCGATTTGGGATTTTCGAGAAAATAATCTGTGCGGAATGCCCGGGCGTGAATTTTGGGCAAACTGGGCTTGGGCGATTCTGTGGAAATTTTTAGGGTTTTTTTTTGGCGACGTTCCTCTTCGGTCTGCGGTGATGCTGCGGCATGAGATTTGATGATTCGCGTGCAAATTGCTGTCTTTATGTGATTTTTAGATGCCCTCTGGTGCTTTGTGAGGGTCTTGGATAGGGAATTTGGCGAGCATATCTTATGCAAGTGGTTTTGTGGGCTTCCTTTGGGTTGCCTATTCGACGAACCCATATATCCTGTGTACCGTGTTTGATTGGAAATGCGCTCCTTCCCTTCTTCTGTTCTGTCTAACTGGTTTATCGGCACGGAATCCCGACATTGATTTCTAATTGCTGCCCCTTCTTTTTAGGAGCGCTGCGAGTGAGTTCTGATCTGTCATGTGGTCTTTTAGTTAATTAGCCAGTATAACTGCAGTGGCTTTCCTTAATAATCTTATAGTATGAAGGCTAGGGCTTTGCTTTGAACTCAAGCACTAGGGTATGAGCCTCATAAAGAACGGATTTTGCTCAAGTAAAGTCGTGGTTTAAGCTTTGCTCTTACCCACGCTTCTCGACATTTTGACTTTAATATGTGATGAATTGAGTTGAGTAGCTCTTTCTGATGCCTGCATTGGTTAGAACACTGGCAACTTTCAGAAGTGGTGTGGGTTTTTGTGGGAAATAATTATATCGGGACTTAGCTATATCGCCTGTTTTTCATGTTATAATCAATCGTGGTGAAGAGGTTTGTAGATTTGGTCTCTTCCTTGGATTGCCATAATTTGCTTTGTGCAATATTCTGCAAGATGTAATGTCCCTCTGGTTGTCATTTTCACTTTGGTGTTTGGTTATTCTTGTTGATTGAACCTTACAATAATTGTGCTTGTGAATTAGGTATTCTCGATCATCTTAGATATCATTGACCATGCTAAATTAGCTAGAAACACTATTTGCTCTTTTAAATGCTGGTTTGTTTGATTGAACTCCTTTTATTTTCTTTCAAAATTCATGTTTTGTAATGCTTTTAATGCAGGTCGACCATGTTAACTCTAGCAGACGAGATTTACTTGCAGAATTTGAGGATGCACTCCTGAGACAGCGGATAAATTGCATGTCAGGTTCTAAATTGGCAGAATCAAAGGAAAAGCGTCTTCAAAGCCGAGTCCAGCATCGCATAAGTGAACTTGAAGGTGACTATGGTCTCAACTTTGTCATGCATCCTCACATGATGTACTTTATACTATGGCATGTTGTAGTGCGAATTCTTTGTTTTCGAGAAAAAATATTGGTTAGTAGGTTGTTTATTCAATGCATCCATACTGCTTCATGTTCAGGACACATCTTTTTAGGGCTTGAAGCCACATGTTACACTTATTCTGTCTCACTAACTGATGCTTTGAATCTTGGGTTAGAATTGCCATCAACTAGAGGGGAGGATCTGCAGACAAAGTGCTTACTTGAACTTTATGGACTGAAGGTAAATACTCGCTTGACGTTCTTTGGATTGTTTTGCTTATTGCTTTATTCCTTATATAATGCGTTTACAACAGACTGTTGATTGGATCTTGATTTTGAGATTTTAATGTGACTGTAGCATTTGAAGGTTTTGTGTCCTGAGATCCATAAACTCTTCATTATCTAGACTGGAGTAATTGAAAAGGTTGCTGTCAGATGTCTGAACCTTTATTGTAGGATAATGTTGACTGTGTTTGTTTGATGAATGGCTACATAAACAGTAACTGTTTGAAATGTCTTGTGCATTCAATAGCAACTAAAACTTCATGATTAAGCTAGTGATTTATGTGCAACCTTTGTTTTGTTTCTTCCAGCAAATGTGAATATTTATGTGTTTCATTAAGCATTTGGATATTGAGGGATGATAGAATTCTGACTTTCTGGGCAAACTCTCTCTCTCTCTCTCTCTCTCTCTTTTATTTTTTATTTTTTTTATGGCAGCTAGCGGATTTGCAAAGTAAGGTTCGCTCCCAAGTAAGTTCGGAGTACTGGCTTCGATTGAACTGTGCATACCCTGAAAAGCAGTTGTTTGACTGGGGTATGATGCGATTGCGCCGCACTCAATATGGTGTTGGGGATGCTTTTGCCGTGGAAGCTGATGATCATTTCAGAAAGAAACGGGATGCTGAGGTAATCTAATTGGTGATGCAGCACTTATCAACATTACTTTTACATGGCTATTGACGGGAAATACTGGAATATTTTTGCGATGTGACTTGCTTGAGATAAAATGAGATAATATCTTGTTAGGAATTCAATGTTATGAAATAGATATCTACAATCTGTTCCTATTCTATATGGCAATAGCCAAGTTCATAATTGACTTTGAATTGAAGCACCCTTTAGTTACATTTGGATTTCATTTGTTTATAGACATGGATGAGAATGTGGGAGAAAAGCTTCTTTCTGATGCCAGTACCTCAATTTTGATTTGCAGAGGCTCTCAAGATTGGAAGAAGAAGAAAAGAATCTTGTAGAGACCAAAAAAAGGAAATTTTTTGCAGAAATACTTAATGCAGTACGAGAATTTCATTTACAAAATCAGGCTTCTCTAAAGCAAAGAAAGCAGAGGAACGATGGGATCCAGGTGGGCATCCTTCTCTCCTATTCTTTTCTTTTCATTTATCTGTCACAAAATGGGAAGTCGATTTTAGAATGTGGTTCCTGTGATGGTTTGGCACTGCAGGCTGAGCTCATATTTATCTTCAGAATATGGTCATCTTGAGTCAAATATCTGATGCTGGGTTTATGTGGGGCATACTGGATTGGTTATATTCAAGCACATTAATTATCTGGCATATATGAAAGTTCTCATGCTGTTTAAGAGAATAGGATAACCTTGGTCAAATGAGTCCGCTAAACTTTTCCTTATCTGGAAAGCAACCTTCATGCACTTGAAACAGAGAAGGTTGGGTTCTTTCAATGTGAAACAAGATGACGAAAAGACGCCAACTTAGAAGTGGGCTTGAAAAGTCCGTACCGTCCTTTGCGTTGTATGAGATAGTTTTATTCTTCACTCACATTCAGGATGTTACTTTTATTTTTGACCAATTAGGAATTACTGCTCAAATCAGTTTTGAAGCCCAATGAAGATCATCAGTATTTTCTTCCTCTTTTGTATGGGCTCTGATTCTTTTAAAAGTGTTTCCAGTTCTACTTTGGGGGAACTGTTCACCGAGATATTTGACTAATGTTGGAACTTGGGAGGAAACAACTTGACAACTGATGTGATATGAGCTGTACGGGTTCTGTTAGGTTGGATGTGACCATAAAAATTATCTGTTGCATACCATCTATGAGGAGATAAGAGTACATAAACTTTCGCTCTAAATGTTCCTTATTGTGATCCTTACAATAATCATTTGATGCAGGCCTGGCATGCAAGGCAAAGACAGCGTGCTACCCGTGCTGAAAAATTGAGGATGCAAGCTTTGAAGGCTGATGATCAGGAAGCATATATGAAAATGGTAAAGGAAAGCAAAAATGAGCGATTGAATACGCTTCTTGCAGAAACGAACAACCTGCTTCACAATTTAGGAGCTGCTGTCCAGCGTCAAAAAGATGCTGGACATGCTGATGAAATTGAGGATCTTAAATATTCTGAAGCTGATTTGCCTGAGTTGGATGCTTCAAGCAGTGGAACTCCTGCGGAAGAGGTTGATGTCTCTGAATCAGATCGCAATGATGACTCCAGTGACTTTCTTGAGGGTCAGCGGCAATATAACTCCGCTATTCATTCCATTCAAGAAAAGGTAAAACCACTTTTATCTGTTTCTTTTCTTGTTTTGCATAAAATGCCTTTGTGATATATTTTCTTACTACCTTTATGAGCTATAATGTGATGTAAATGGATAAAAATTACTGGCTTCAGCATTTTATGTCTCTGATGAACCTAAGATTCTTATCACTCTAATTTTCAATCTTTGCCAGCATAATACCTTTAGAATGCTAAGTAGGCACTCTCATGTGAATGGCCCATTATGCTTTTTTCCGCCCAAAAAATTCCATTATGTTTTTCATCAACTCATTTTGCCTGTCTCTACCATAGTCTAAATCAATTGCGGATTCTACAGGTGACCGAGCAGCCGTCCATGCTTCAAGGTGGAGAATTGAGGCCCTACCAATTGGAAGGACTTCAGTGGATGGTTTCATTATTTAATAACAACCTAAATGGTATTCTAGCTGATGAGATGGGTTTAGGAAAAACAATACAAACCATCTCGTTGATTGCCTATCTCATGGAAAACAAGGGTGTTGTAGGGCCCCATTTGATAGTGGCTCCAAAGGCTGTGCTGCCAAACTGGATTACTGAATTTTCAACTTGGGCTCCAAGGTCTCTCTCTCTCTCTCTCTCGTGTATGTGATGGGCTTGCAGTTGCTTGCATGCCTCACTTCACTTTCAGATGCTTATTATTTTGTTCATGTCCAGTATTGCAGCTGTGCTTTATGATGGACGTCTGGATGAGAGAAAGGTGATGAGGGAAGAGTTATCTGGAGAGGGGAAGTTTAATGTGTTAATTACTCATTATGGCCTCATCATGAGAGATAAAGCATTCCTGAAGAAAATTCAGTGGCAATATTTGATTATAGACGAAGGACATCGATTAAAGAATCACGAATGTTCTCTTTCAAGGACTCTTGTATCTGGGTATGATGCTACTGACGTTTTTATTTGCTTGATTAATCCGCCATTGGTGCACTATGCTCCAACTGACTATTACCATCAATACTGACATCTTCAACTGCTGAGAATTCTGTCTTTACTCTCATGTCATCTATAGCTGAGTCACTTTTGTTACTCTGAACCTCTTTTTGATGAACTACTTATGCCTTATTCACTGCATCAGCGATACTGCAAAATTGTCTTCCATGTTTTCTGTCGAAGAGCTTTGCAGTTTTCAACCCTACTATATTTTGTTAAACGATAAGGATAGTGATTAGCAAGATCATGATTCAGTGTAGATGAATAATACTCTTTGCCTTGTTACGCATTGAAGGAGTATATTAACTTTGCATGAGTACAAGGGCAGTGATTTTCTTCTGCTTCCCTTTACCACCTTAGGAAAATCTCAGTACTTTCATTGCAGAAAGTTTTTCCAGTATTTACGTCAAAACCGTGTTTAGAATGAAAGGCAAGTCCATTTGGCTGCTATAGGTTGACTTAAAAATTCAAAGCTGGTGATATCATATTGCAACTATCAGATTGTCTTATATCAAGTCATAGGGTCTTCGCTCTAACATGAGTCATGTGTTCAGATACAGTTCCCTATTATGTGTAGGTCTTCAATGAGCAGGAGATAGTTTGACTCCGTTATTTATTAGATAATGGTTTTTCGTACAGATCTAATAAGTGAGCGTTTTCGAGGGTGTATCTGAATAATCTGACCAGAAGAAAACTGTTAAATGTCTCTTGGTGCACCAAGTTAATCCACATCAAACTGTTTTATATTGATTATACATTCAGAAATGCCTGCTTACAAAGTAACCATATATGTAAAAGGCGGATTTTTGGAATCTATTTCTATTTGAATACTGCCTTTGAACATTTGTTATTCCTTTATGTTGTTATATCTGTTGGTTCAGCTGACTGATTTAGTCGGGATGTTTTGGGAAATGGTCTAATTAGTGGAAGTTCACTTAATGCAGCTATCAGACTCAACGCAGGCTTCTCTTAACGGGCACGCCAATTCAGAATAGTTTGCAGGAACTATGGGCGCTGCTTAATTTTCTTCTTCCAAGTATTTTCAATTCAATTCAGAATTTTGAGGATTGGTTTAATGCACCCTTTGCGGACCGTGGTGATTTATCCCTCTCAGATGAAGAAGAGTTATTAATTATTAATCGTTTGCATCAAGTATGTATAAACTTTTTGTTGTCAAATTATCTGGTCCCATTTTCAACCATTTTCTTCTTTTTAATTAATTGTATGTTTCGCTCTCAAGGTTATAAGACCATTCATATTGAGAAGAAAGAAAGATGAAGTGGAGAAGTTCCTTCCTGGGAAGTCCCAGGTTATATTGAAGTGTGATATGTCAGCTTGGCAGAAAGTATACTATCAACAAGTGACGGATGTTGGCAGAGTTGGGCTGGATACTGGTTTGTAGCTTATGCTCCTTGACCATTTCTGTATGTTGTGGTCCCACAACGTCATTTAAAACCAAGTGAAACACATATATGCAGAAGTGTATTTATTGTGTAATCTGTTCATAAATAAGCTTCACATATTGTCCTTTAATTATGAAAATTACTCTAATGGATTTGAATAATGGGAAGTAACTTTAGGGTCTTTTTTTTGGTTTCCAGTTCTGTCAATAACCTGCTTACTTAAGCATATGCATCTTTGCTAACTAGTGTAACCCATTTCAGGATCTGGAAAATCAAAGTCTCTACAGAACCTCTCGATGCAGCTTCGCAAATGTTGTAACCATCCTTACCTTTTTGTTGGGGAATACAACATGTGGCGCAAGGATGAGGTCATCAGAGCATCAGGGAAGTTTGAGCTACTTGACCGCTTGCTCCCAAAACTCTATAGATCTGGGCATAGGGTCCTGCTTTTCTCCCAAATGACTCGTCTTATGGACATTCTTGAAATCTATTTGCAACTTCATGATTTCAAATATCTTCGACTGGATGGTTCAACAAAAACTGAAGAAAGGGGGCTTTTGCTGAAGCAATTCAATGCTCCCAATTCCCCATTCTTTATGTTTCTTTTGAGCACTCGTGCTGGAGGCCTTGGTTTGAATTTGCAAACAGCAGATACAGTAATAATATTTGACAGTGATTGGAACCCCCAAATGGATCAACAGGCAGAGGATCGGGCCCATCGAATAGGACAGAAGAAAGAGGTCAGAGTTTTTGTGTTGGTTAGTGTTGGATCAATCGAGGAGGTAATTCTGGAGCGTGCAAAACAAAAGATGGGTATTGATGCCAAGGTTATCCAGGCTGGACTTTTTAATACGACTTCCACAGGTGAGTTGTGCTTATGTTTTAGTGCTTAACCATCCGCTAATTATTGCTCAATCACCTATTATGGTAATACATAGAAGTTTGTATAGTTGGCAGATCGGAAGTGCAAAATAAAAATGATAAAGATATTTACTGTGCTTAGAAAATGGTTTCTTGCAAGGGTTATGTGAGATGTTTGTTCTTAAAAGATTTACTATGGATTAGTAGCCTAATTTATCAGCGACCGGGTAGGAACTTGTACTAGTTGATGATTGAGCTGTGTTGCTTGCTTTAGATCTATACACACATGCAGCATGCACGCTTGCTGGTACACAAGCGTGCTTGTTGTGCCTTGCTTCCAGTTTAGAAACAACCAGAAAGTGTGGTACTGGAGTAGAAGGTAATTGTGTTAGTTTGTGTTCAGATGTGCACTGATCAGCTGGCCGAATTGTAGCAAGGCCATTTAGACGAGGAGAAATTGAGTCCGAGAAATTGCATATTTTATTCATGGTTGTCGACCATACCGCAGTCTTGGAATCATCGAGGATGCTGTATATTGCAGAACTTGTCAAGTTTCTGAATAGTCCTTTTATTTGGGTGATAAAGGAAAAAATACATGTGAAATAGTGCCTTTGGTATATTTTCTCTTAATTTTATGTTTGAAAGTCATTTTACTTTGATTTCACAGCTCGGGACCGAAGAGAGATGTTAGAAGAGATAATGCGCAAGGGTACCAGATCATTGGGCACAGATGTGCCAAGCGAGAGAGAGATCAACCGCCTTGCAGCACGTTCAGATGAAGAGTTCTGGCTCTTCGAGAAGATGGATGAGGAGAGAAGGCAAAGGGAAAATTACAGGTCCCGTCTCATGGAAGAGCATGAGGTGCCAGAGTGGGCCTATTCTACACCTGATGCGAACGAAGGCAAGTCCAAGGGTTTTGAGCACGATGTCAGCAAAATCACTGGAAAGCGAAGAAGAAAGGAGGTTCTTTATGCAGATACTCTGAGCGATTTGCAGTGGATGAAGGCAGTAGAAAATGGTGAAGACATATCCAAACTTTCTGGCAGAGGAAAGAGAAAGAATCACCCTCTTTCTGAGAACAATGGGTTAATCGGTACGGTATCAGAACCGAGAAATGAAGATGGAGAAGAGTCATCAAAGTTCTCAGTAAAAGGAAAGAGGAGAGATGATCTCCTCTCAGGTGCCAATGATTCGGCTAGCAATGACGCACTATCGGAATTGGAAAGTGAAAGCAGAGAAGATATTTCCAAATTCTCATCCAAGGGGAAGAAAAATGATCAACTTCCTTCCGAGTCCACTGAGTTAGTTCACGACAGTGCAGCTGACTTGGATGATGAAAATATGCCTGTGGCGAGTGAGGATAACAGTGAAGATACTTATGGTTCTGTGCCGAGGAAATTGAAGGCTGAAAGCATCGAAAAACCTGAGTATCAGGGTGCTAGGAGGGTCGGGTGGAACGGGCATATACTAACGTGGAACACCCATAAGAAGAAGAGATCCAGCTATATTCCGAGCTCTTCATCAGACTCGAGGGGCCCGAACTTTAATGGAAGAGGGAATGGTTGGAATTAGTCAACAATTTTCTTGCTCTTTTGGTTCGTGCTCAATCCTTTTTTCATGGTTTTTTTCCCCCTTCCCCTCTCTCATTCATGGGGTTGAGCTGCAAAACTAGAATTCTGGCAGAAGTGGATTTTTAGGGGCAGCAAATGGTGACAACACCTGTAGCTGTGGCTTACTGTCCGCACGGCTTCTATTCATTTCAATGGATGAAGGCTGTATTGTACCAGTAGCAATTCAAATTACCTAGTGTACAAAGATGTGCCCTTTCATTCCATCTCCTGTCCTTTTCAGACTTGGTGCATGTTCTTTGGATAGATTGACGAGCGGCAAAAAGAAGTCTCACAAAATTGAATTGAGTATTCGGTGAGAAAGTCATCGTGTCGAGGGTCGAAACTGGATGAACATGACAGGAAGTGATCCCTATTATTAGTGGGGTCTGTTCCATCGAGAAGCAGATCCTCGGATCATAGCGGATCGTGGTTCTTTGTGTTTTTTCTAACTGCTATACAAAATATCATAATACACAAAATCTTAAGGTTTTTATAATTAACGCGAGATGTTTTCTTTCTTTTTAATCTGATGGTCATTGAGGATCTGGGGATCCGTCCTTTATATATCTTTAAACGAACTCCTGTTTACGGAGTACATGAAAGATGCATGGTGACAGCATCATAGCTTGTTCCTCAGGCTTGATCCGCTTTGATTGTTCCGGCTATTAGAGGTGACGAGAGACATGGTGTTGTGGTTGGATTTAATCCACTGTTAATGGCTGTTGTTTTTGAGTCAATTTGAAACAAACCTCAAATTGTTGCAGGAATGTCCATAAAGAATAGTAGTTCATCTTCACTAGGATTTAGGGAAAAGTACCAAAAAAGTTCTAAATATATTGCATTTATATCGATTATAAAAATAACCGTCCATGTCAATGTCGGCCATGTCATGTAAAATGGCTAGCGTCCATGTTAGCCAATTGACACGGTCACCCGCCACAGGCCATGGCTGGCGAGGGGGAGCACCAGTGAGGCCGACCCTCGCCCAGGTTAGGGCGAGGCTTGTTGGGTCTCGCCCTCCCTCGAGTGCAGCCCAATGAGGCTGACCCTCGCCTGTGGCCTGTGTCGGGCCACCGGCAAAAAGAATAGGAAAAGAAAAAAAAGGAAAAAAATCATTAAAAAATTATAAGAAAATGTCAATGTTAGCATTGGTCGTGTCACGTGGGACGACCGACTTCCATATCAATGATTTTTGACCTAAATTAGCCGGATGGACTGAATTAATATCAATTTTAAAAAGTTTAGGACTAAATTAATTTACTTTTTTTGGTCATAAAATTAGTCCAATTAAAAGGTGCAGTTTTTGTGGTGATTAAAATCATCACTTATAATATCAATTGGAACAACTAATTAACCTGGATGTAATTTAATGCCATAGTTTTTTTTTTTAGTCGCCTTTAATGCCATAGTCAATGCAATTGAATTCATCAATTAAAGTTTTATTTGACTTTTTCGTAAATAAGATCAATATATATTGTTTCCATTGGTTATTAAATGAAAGTCTCATAAAATTTGTGGACGTTTATTATATCTACTTTTCTTGAAGAAACTAATTTACCTATAAATTTATTTACTCACAAACATGATTTCATGTCAAATGAATCTTACAATTTTAGGGTTTTGAGAAAATTGATGTGTCATATCATCCTCTTTATCCATAAAAAAAATTAACAGAAGTTGTAGCTAAAAATTTGCAATTAAGGTTTAATATTCTTAAATGTAATTATACATCTACATCGTCATATAGGAACTCGATATTGTGATACAATTATATTTTCATTATGAAAATAAATTATTGATAGAAATACTTATTGATCCAATTGTTACTTGCACCATCTTATTCGTTTCCACTCATGAAAGGTTCATGAAAAAAATTCTTTTACATCAAAATAGATGATACATCATATTAGTAGCCAACTTCGCTACTTATGATGGAAATAAATTGAAATAACTTCAAAGATTAATTTCACGTATATAATAATTGAAAATTATATATTCAAATAAATAATACATAATTTGTAATGACTCATTGAAGTAACCGTGAACGTGACTTGCTTTTGTTGATAATAATAGGGATAAGTGCATTGGAAGTTTTAAAACTTGTCACAAAAATACAATTGAGTTCTAAAACTTTAAAAAAGTGCAATTAAATTCGTAAAGTGCAATTGAGTCCAAAAACTTTCAAAAACCACAATCAAGTCCTAAAATTTGTCGAATTGGTCCAATCAAGTCCTAAATTATGCAATTTCTGAAAATTTTAGGACTCGATTGTACTCTCATGACGAGTTTTAGGATTTGATTGCACTTTTTTAAAGTTTTAGGATTTGATTGTACTTTCGTGATAAGTTTTAAGACTTGATTGGACTTTTTGAAAGTTTTAGGACTCAATTGCACTTTCGTGACAAGTTTTAGGATTTTCGGTGCACTAGTGCACTTATCCCATAAATATATGTTCGATTTTTAAATCCGTGCATTTCTCTCTCAAATATTGATTATGTACCAGCTTCTGTTCTAATCATGGATGGTTGGAAGTTCACATTTTTGTCTTGGAAACTTACTTGTAATGTTCGACATGAGTGAAATTGATCGAAAACTTCTAATATTGAAGTATTCCCTACATAAGGAAATTATGTGTGACAACTGAAAATCAACACATCTAATTTGGTGAATTTCTGAAATGAAATAAGTCTAGAAACTGTACTTTTAAGTCTTTGGCCATTGGTCAATTGAGGACTTAAGGTTACAATTTATTCGACATCGATATACATGTCCAAACCAGACCGCTACTTGCAATTCTAGCAAGGAAGAAGATGACTGGCTAATTTTGTTAGAAACTGTTTCGCCGGTTTTATCCCGTCGAAAATCTTTCACCGAACGCTGCGTTTCGGATTTTATTAGTGGAGACTAGGGTCTTGAATCAAGTTCGGACAAAGAATGTCAAATGCGTTTATTAAGCCCAACTTATGTCTCACAACTTAACTCGATAATACACCAAACTCGACAATACTAACAATGAGATGACAACTTGCAAATGTCGAGACCAAGCTATATCATAATCTAATCAACGACACAACTAATATATGACATTGCAATTCAAGGTATGCCAGAATCTAATCAATGACGTGACTTGAGAGAATATAGCTGGAATCTAATCAACAGCTATATTCCAAGCACAACGCCGGAATTTAATTGACGACGCTGAATTGGTGGCACAACACTGGAATTTAATTGACAATGCTGGACCTGACAAAGATTCTCGCCGGAATTGAATCTACGACGTGGAATCTAAAAGCTATAGCTTCGACTACTCCTAATGTGCTAAAAGTAAAGATAGATAAAAGATGTGTTGTGTTGTTCCGGGAGGGGGGATTCTACGTCGGAAATCCTTGAGTATTTATAGAGCAGCCTGATAACCGCTGACCGGCCACTTCTCCTTGAAAGTCGTTTTCTACTTCCTTACGTTTCGCACTTTAACCGCTTCCTGGCTTGTCGATGTTGCTTACACTCCATGGGCATCATGTAATAGCTGATTTTCTTCCACGTGTCTCTTTATTCCTTGCTGTTTCCTAAATTTCATTCCTTAACTTCCTTGATCTTCATGTCCACGGTTATGTCTTTACCTTTTGATGCGTGAAAATGAATTTCTTTACCATGCGTCACCATGTATTTAATCCATGATTTCAGACTCATCGACATCGCGTGCAAAGCTTGTGATTTTGGACTTGTCGACGTCATGTGCAAGGCCCGTGATTTTAGATTTGTCGACGTCATGTGCAAAGCTCGTGATCTTGGATTTGTCGACACTTTTATGACGTGTCCTGTCGATAACTGCTTCAAATCTTCCCAATGCCTCTGAGCCTGATTCATGGCCTTTTTTCGGATTCATGCTATGTGGGCCGTGTTTTATGTCCTCTGTGACTTGCAACCGGCCCACTCCCATCAAGGGTAATTTTGAGTGTCAACATATGCCCCCTTTTAAAAGGAATAAATTTGAACTTATTTCTTTTAAAGATGTACCTTGTTCATGTACGAATCCCTAGGCGATGATCATGCTTTTCTGTCCCTTGACGTCCTTTCGAGCAGTCAATACGAATTCCTCATCCAATATTCTTCGGACACGTCACCTTGTATTTTCTTCAAACAGTCGTGGGTTTTCAAATCGTCTTCTTCATCCTGCATTTTTGTAAAAGCTTCGTTTCACTGTCGCGTCTTCTTCTTTAAACCTAAAAATCCCTTCTTGAACCTTTGTCTGATCTTGATCTATCATTTCTCATGGCGTCCAAAAAATCTGAATATTCTGCCAGTGACTTCATCGCGGGTTTTGACAAATTCAAAGAAGATCCGCACGCTAGTAATTGCTCTTTCCATTTATTGAAAGCTGTCGAGGATGAATGTAACTATTTCTCTCTGGGCCCCAGCTTCATGGACCATCTCAATATTCCTGTGAATCTCCAATTTCATTTCCCGTATAAGCACAGTGAGACTTTGGCACTGCCACATTCTTCTATTACGGATGTGTGGTCCACGGGGTCTTCTCGATTTCGAAGTTTCCCTTCTTACGAAGAGGATTTTCACAAATGGTTTATTCGCTTGAAGGCTGACCAAGAAACTCAACTTTTATGGACAGCTGCCGGGATCAACGTCGCTCTCGAGGTCAGTATGTCATCTTATGACCTGGAACGTGGGCTATTGGGCTCCGCCATCACTTTCTGGTCTTCTTCCAGCAATTGCTTCTTTTTTCCTTGGGGACACATGTCCATCACTATGCTTGATATGTGGTCACTGATTGGCCTATCACCTTTTGTGGAATTTTATAATCAGAAGTCGTGGTCATGTCCAAGTTTTTATGGTACCCCTTTCGTTGATCTCTCATTTCATGACTTCAGCAAAGAGTTTAGCAAGCCAGACGGACCAATAACTCCTTAAGAACATGTTGCATTCCTGCTTTGTTGGCTTTGTCGATATATCTTTTGTACTACTTCCATATCATGTGGGCTTGTGGACATTGCATACGCCCTCACTCAGTGTGTTGATGTGGGGTTAGGTCGAATGGCCTTGTCTGCTTTGTATAAAGGCCTTATCGATGCACAATCTTCATTGTTTAGTGCACATCCTAATCCTTTCATCGGTCCGCTGTGGATATTGCATGGTTGGGTTCGATCATATTTCCCTCATCTGTTCACGTCTTACGGTTCTACACCCGTCGACTGGTATGATGC